ATTGTATACATGGAAAATTATAAAACATTTATTAAAACACATTCAGTAGCTATTGAGCATGAAAGTTAAGGGCACAGCCTCTGAATCAGAACTTCCTAGATCTTAAATGCCAGAGGCTAAAAGTGATAGAAGAACAGAGGAAGAAACCCTGGTCATACCAATTTAGTTGGTCTAATAAAAGGCATTACATCTACCTGAAGAACCTTGCCTGCCTATGTCCTTAGACCAACACAGCTACAACCCTGTTCACTCACTCTCCCTTTCAGCATTTACACTGCCACTGTGTGACAGGAGGGCAAGATCTGACCTGGTAAATGGCAATTCTTACAGTAGTGTATTCTTATGTATAGAATCTAATTATTGGGGGGTTGTCTTAAATTCCAAGTTGTGCTGGATATGAGTGAATACAGTATGTTCCTGTTCTTTCCACTCACCTGTATTTTTATTTTTGTTGCTAACTTGTATTTTTTGCATAACTTCTCGGTCCTTGTCTTGGGACTTTCACTACTGTAAAAAAAAAAAAAAAAGAATAGTTTTATTCAACTATGATGATTTGTAATATAAAATTTAAAATGTAGGTTCCATAAGAACACAGCTTCCAAACCATGAAATGTCGCCCTCGTGCTCCCTACATCACTAGATTATTTAAAATATACAACAATTATATTCCTAAAATGCAAACACAGTCCATACATTTAAAGTACTTCAAAAAGTTGTCCAGAAATGGAGTTAGAAAGACTTGGCACATGAACACATGGTCCCCACACTTAACTTTTCACGGATCATTTCATATACTATTTTATGTGAGGCATAAGGAAAATGAAGTACCTGCTGGCATCTGTGTTACAAATGAAACAAAGCCAAACTGCTGCTACCCTCAAAGTAGGAACTGAAAGCAACCTTGAACATGTGTCTCGTGCCTATCTTTTGGGGGTGTGGGGCATCTTGGTTATTTATGGTACCATGTAAATTCCAGAACCTCTGAAAACCCACAGTTAGGTTTTCTTTCTTGCTTTCACAGATGTTTTATAACAGATGTGCAGTTAATGGTAGGCAGATATTGCTCAACTTATTTGTGAGACCACATGATCTCCCCTTCAGTCTTCTAAATCTACAATCCATCACTGTCTTGGAGCTGCTGAGGCAGTAAGCTGGTCTGCACTATCCAGCACTGTCTGCTGCTATGCTAGATCCAAACATGCACTCCTAGCCTAGCCTCAGTAGTTGTTCTCAGGCCTGCTAGAAACTGAGAGCTTGAAAGAAAGTGCTGGGGACAATCCTGGAGCAACCTCCCTGGTGAACTGCTAGGTCTGGAGTATCTTAGAGGGTATAGATGAGTGGGGCACATGCAGCCCAGTCTTTATGGGACCTATCTCCTCAACCAGGATGGTAGATGAACAGTCTCTGAATGTAATGGGAAAAGTTACCATCAGTATTACTGCTGGTCAGAGAAGCAAATCTACCTTTTCTCATTAGAATGATGTTCATTCCTGAAAATTCTAGTACGGTCCAGCAGTTTCCCTATGCCTGATGAAGGGTGTTTGTGCCCAAAAGCTTGCAAAGAAGTCTTTTCCAACTATTTAGTTGGTCTAATAAAAGCTATCACGTCTTTCCAAAGAACCTTGGCAGCCTAGCACAGTCCAGAAATGTCTGGACCACCATGCTTTTGTGTTAATACACCTTCCTGATGGCTTTGGCAGTACAGAACGACTCCTATTTATGAGCTCAGAGGCCTGATACATAGGGAAAGAAGAGGAATATAGGTTTCTATAACTGCCTCAGTGCAACTGGGGAATTCTGTTTATACGAAGCCATCAGTAACTTGCCATGCTTTGGCAAACCATAGGACATGCAACTCTAGTAACTTCTCAGTAGTAGGCTGCACAGCCCCAGTCAATCATCTTCCTGCCTACTCTCCTCTTCTCATTCTCTTGGGGCAGCTGCAGACAGATTAGATGTTGGTGCTTCTGCCAAAAGCACTGCAAAAGTTTCTGGGTAGTTCAGTGGTTGGCTTGCAAGCTGAAGTAACCCAGTACTGAGGTATCAAAAATGCCTGCAGAAGCTGTTGTGTATTGCAATGACAAGCAACCTGGCCCAGATATCCTGTCTTCTATAACAGTCTGAAAGTGGCACCAACTATCAGAAAAGACAGATCATTGGATGATGGAAGAGAAATCAAGGGCATCTATAAATTTGATCCAAATTTTCAGACTTGCGGTTGCTTCTGTGACTTAAACCGTAATGGACAGAGCTGAGTAGTCAGATACAAGAACATGGGATACGTCCTGAATGCTTAATACAGAGAAAGTCCCTGCTGTGTGGAAGAAATGATTTAATCATGAGTATGACATACCATCAAATATGCAGCAGTTACTATGCCAGAGCTCAGTAAAAAGTAGGCATGCCCTACATTTCCTTCTTAGAGCAGAAATGACTTCCAAGTCTAATAAGTATATAATGGATCTCATTAAAATTGAATGTTTCCCTCTGTGCTTGCTTGACCGGTGTGTCACGGAATCACTTGGTGAGGACCAGCAGCCTCTAGCCCAACTCTTCCCAGGTGGCCTGTCCCAGAGTAAAATACTTTGACTCAATTCAATGCCCAATTGAATCATCTAATTCTAGTTTGGTTGCATAGCATATTCTCTCTAGCTGCTGCTAGCTTCAGATCAGTGATCAATGGGTGCTGGGGTAAAACTAATGCCCCACAAGTATTGGCGTGGGTCAAGGAGGTTATATGGATTGCACCATGGCACACCTGTTGGATTAAAAGCTCAAGCAAAGCTTTATTGGCTACCCACGCAGCTAAAGCAGCAATGCTACACATGTGAAAGTGAATGTCACTGCACTGCAACAATCTTGGGTGGATGTAATGAGAGTGCTCACTCAGCCAGCCATGGATCCCGGGTCACCATGTCTGTCTGCATTGGTCCTGTGATGTACTTGGGACACAGCCCAAGCACAGAAAACTTGTCTTTTGCTGTTTTCTTTATGACTCGATGTGACGTTGCAGTTGCTAGGCATTTGCTAGACACCATTGCTAGCCTATTTGATTTTTCTAAGCAGTTTTATCTTTCTAAGTAATATTTACAGTATTTACAGCTGTAGTTGCCACTTTGTGCCAAATTAAGATAACACAAACCTATTTGTAGATCATTATACCATCTAGATAACCTGCTAGCACTACTGCACCCAAGCAGTAGCATGGCAGATGGTGAAGAATTTGACAGTCAGAGGGGACTGGAGCCACAACCAGCTCCAGCACTGACTTGTTCTGGACTTTGATAAACCTCTTAGCTGTTCTCAGCTTAATTCCCCTGCCAATAGATTATATTGTGTGTGATATCTCTGTTTCATTTCCCTACCATTATGTATATATTTATAAGCATAATTAATTTATCATTATAATCAGAAAGAACTTCTTCACGGTAAGGGTGGCCAAGGTAAGGGTGGTGCTGTCCCTGTCTTGGGGGTCTTTAAGAGAAGGCTGGATAAGCATCTAATTGGGGTCACCTGCCCTCAGCACCCTTTCCTACCCAGGCAGGGGTTTGGACTCGATGATCTGTTGAGGTCCCTTCCAACCCTAGCATCTATGAATTATATTACTATTATAATTAATTATATTATCCATAATGTATACACACGTGTGCACATATAATGTAATATTGTACTATAGTACATATCTCTGTCTCATTTCCCTGCCATTATATTTCTATTTCTATTAATATAATATTATATAATATATAGACGTGTGCATGTGCACATATAATGTAATGTTGTTTTATAGTACTTATTTCTGCATTTCCCTACCATATGTATATATATTTATATTATATATAGACGTGTATGTATAATGTAATATTGTGCTATAATAGTACATATCTCTGCCTCATTTCCCTACCATTATATATATTTACAATTATATTAATATAATTAATTACATTATATACATAATACTGCTTCATTTCCCTACCATTTTATTTATATACACATGCCCATATAATATTATAGTCTAATAGAATGTAGTATAGTATAATGTAATATTATGATATAGTACAATGTGATATAATTTAATATTCTAATATAATGCTGTATAGGGTGTTATATGCTATGCAGGAAAATGCAGCCCCCACCCCCGGCTTTTTTGCATGCAAACCAGACTCCGGCGTCTTGACAATTACCCATCCCACGCAGGAAGAGCAGGCACCAACTGCAGATGCTTCCTCAGCAGCCCGACCACAAGCATTTATAGCCGCAAGCTTGTAAAGAAGAATTTTTCCAACTCTTTGAGTTGTTGTAATAAAAGACACCGGATTTACCCCAAGAACCTTGCCTGAGTGTGACGCAATGTAATACTGTAATATGACATGACGTAATGTAGTGCACTACCATGCCCTGGAAGGCGCCCCGCCCCACCCCGCGGGGGCGCTGTGGCGCGGGGAGCACCAGCCAGAGTCCCAGGCGTTCAGAGCTCCCCCGCCGCCGCCCGAATGCGCAGGCGCAAGGGGGGGGGTTCTGACGCAATCATCCTCTGAGGCACCCACTGAGCAACCGTCCAGCGCGGGGCACTAGCGTCCCCTGGCGTAGCAGCAGCGCGCACGGTGCGATTCACGAGAGGGGGCGGGGCCGCCGTCTCACAATGCATCTTGTCACTGCCCTTGCCCATACCCAACACGCATGGGTCCTTAAGTCTTTTGGGCCGCGCCGGGACCCGTAGCCCCGAGGTGTTTCTCCTTCGATACGAGGTGTGTATGTTGCCATAGTGACCGCAGCTTCCTCCTGCCCCCATGTCATGTGACCCGCCATCTCCCGGGTGGGGCCGTTGGGCTGCCCCTCCCCCCCATCCCTCTGCATTCCAATGCGCGCCTCGCGGCCGGCCTCCATCTTGGATGCTGAGGCCAAGATGGCGGCGCCGGCGACCGGCGCCGGCCCCGCCCCCTCCGAGCCCGAGCGAGGCTGCGTGATGACATCAGGCGCTCCCCTCTGCCCGAACCCGGAAGTGCGTGTGTCTCTCGGCGGCGGTGGCCGGCGTGGGGGCGGTGGCTGCGACTCGCGGCTTCCCCAGAGGCGATGGCGGCCGCCGCCGAACTGCAGGGAAAGTACCAGAAGCTTGCCCAGGAGTACTCCAAGGTAGCGCCCTTCCCCCCGCCTGCTCCTGCTGCTGGGGAGGGGCGCTAGTGCCCCGGGAGCCTGCCGGGGCCGCGGTGACATCATGCGAACGCCCCTCCCCCCCCGCCCTATTGCCCCACATACGCGGGGTGAGGGGCAGTGGGTTGGGAGTGAGGGGCACTGAGTCAGGACTGCACATCCATGTTGACAAATGAGTCGTGGTACAAACAAGGTTGAGAACCACTAGACTAGACCTCCTGAGGTCCCTTCCAATGCTGAGTGTGTGTGTGGTTCATATTGCTCACATTTCTGGAGCACTGAAGCATCTCAGGGATTTTAGCATGTGGTTTTCTTCTCCCCTCTGACCCAGGGAGGATTGTTATCTCTGTCTCTGCAGATGGAACTGAGGACTGTCCCTTCCCCAAATCCCCAGGGAGTGAATTACCTGTCCCAAGTTGGTGGCAGATCCAGAACCAGGCCACGTTTTCTGAGTTTTTGGTCTACTGCTTTTACCACTGCACCATCGTCTCCTTGTTTAGAGTCCCACCTGGGGCCTTGCTGTTTTTTATTGGGGTATGAGTTGAAGTTGTGTTCCTCAAGTCTCATCCTGCAACTTTCAAAGAGATGTTTTGCCAAGCTCTTTCATAAAAAGGAGCCTGGGAATATTTTTCCCCCTCAATCCTCTCCAGTGTTTCTTGGGGATCAGTACAGTTTGGGAGCACTCTGTCAGGTACTATCTCTTCTCTACTACTGCTGTTCAGTAATTTCCCTCTTGGCTGTCTGATTCTCTGCAGGTGAGAGAGGAGAGTTGATCACCCAGGGTGATGCATTGTCTGTTTCTTTGTGCAGTGAAAGCCCCAGGGAGAGCAGGGTAGGGCCTTGATTGGTGCTTCTTAAGGAGTGCCTAAGGAAAGGATGTTTTTTATTTTTCCACAGAGGGCAGTCCAGGAGAGAGGATGGGAGAAACAATTTTAGCTCTGTTGTGTCATATAATCTCCTGACACCCTAACTCAGCCTGTGCCAGGGGCTTTAACTTGTAACAGGCTTATTCACCAGCTGAGTAAAGTGTGACCCAGCTATTCCACTTCCATGCCTGACATTCTCCTGCACCAGTTGCTGTGGCATAGAAGAATGGGAACCTGCCCGTATCTGCTGCAACATCATTATGCTGTGCATTTTCTCTAGTATGGAACTTGCAGTTGACTTTCCTTTCTTTTCTGCTGCTTGATCAACTTGCACGGAACAGAACAGGACAGAAGACTCGGCTGCACAGCATTGTCCCTGAACTTCTGAAGTATGTTCAGGCTTTAGATCCAGCAATTTGGAAATTGCTATTTTCTGCAGATTCACACCTTCTGAGCTTCTGCTGCTAGCAGCCTTCCCAAGTGTGGGGCAAACCATTCTAATTTATGTCTGCAGTAGCTAGACATGGAGATATATCAAATGAGTGAAAACTGCAGTTGAAAAAACCATAATCAGAGTCGTTACTAAGGAATAGGAAATGGCGATTTTTTTTTTAAGTAGTCGAGATACTCTGTATGAAGTGGCTAAAAATGGGTTTTGTGGTAGTCCATTTTGGCATTTGTAACTCCTAACTCAAGCTGCTTAACTTCATAAATAAAAGTATAAAAGGTTTCCTTTTTTCTTCTAAGCCCTGCAGATTCTCTCTGAAATGTTAAGTCAAGCTCTGCTTTCTTTGGATCCTGAATTACTGCTGGTAACATGCATTTTGCAATCAGGATTCAGCTAACAATTCTGCCAAAAGATGAGATTGACATAGGCTCAACCTCATTTTGTCAGCAATATTTGTAGGGCCAAGAAAAAGAAGAAGCAGAAATGAGACTGAGGAAGAAGGTGCCATTTTTTCCATAGTTGTTCATTCAGACTGTAACCACACTTTAAAATGTTTTGTTAGGAAGATTAATATATCCTGTTTAAGAACTGCCTGATGGAGAGGGAAGGTCGTAAGATAAAATAACTTGTTCCCTGAAATGGCAAGAAAAAAATGGCTTGTGCTTGTCTTTATACTTTTTTTAGCCTTATTACAACAGCATGTTGGTAGTGGAAATAATAAGACTTTCCAAAGGGCACTATTTTATGTTTTCTGAAAGAAAACGTGTTTTCAAGTTGTTGATATGAGTTGTATGTTTACTTCTTCCTGCCCAGGTTAATGATTTGCACCTTTTTTATTTTCAGCTTCGGGCTCAGAACCAGGTGCTAAAAAAAGGTGTTGTGGATGAGCAAGCAAATTCTGCGTCTCTAAAGGTACTCTTTCAAAATTGTTTTCTTAAATGGCACTAAATGTTGATGAATAGGATGCTCCATTGATGGTGCTCCTGCAGAGTAGCATTCTTACATCCACTTAAACAAAAGAAATTTAGTGAATCAAGCTTGTCTACAACTACTTCTGTATGGTAAATGCTGATAGTGTAGTCATTAGGAAGATGATCTGTCCATTTGAATCATTTGGAGAAAAAAAAGTGTAGCTCCCTGGAGAAAGATTGCCCTTTTCTGGTAAGTCATCAACATGCGATGTGAACAGAGGCATTTGTTTTGAATCTTAGGGTTCATGTGTAGTGTACTTCACTTGTATGGACCCTGGGTAAGTACCAAACTGCACAAGAAAATGCGAGTCCCATCTTCTTTTTTAATCTGTTGGTTGCATTGTAACATCCATGGGAAACCTAACTATTGGGTAAATGCATGACTGCATAGCACTTTCTAGCCTTATTTCTGCTTTTAATATAATCTCTTCCATTCCTATATAGTAAACTGGAGTATGAGAAGCATCTGTCAAATAGCCCCTGTTAGAAGCCTTGAAGTTGAAAGGAGTTGGGTCCTAAAACTGGCTCTTTCCCTTCATTTTCCAGGCTTTTCATGTCAGCTGTGAAACTGACCAGCTCTGAAGGCTTCTAATAGCAGCTTTGAAACTGACCATTAAAAGTTTTGAAAATGATGAGAGTTTCTGGACTGCTGGCATCACAGCGTTGGCATTAAGTTAATGAGAATTGCTTATGCGGAGTTCGGATACTTGCATAATCTAGGCAGTCGTATAACTTTTTTTTTCAAGTCCAGGACTAGACACCTACAATACGTTATAACTATGACACTGTTTTATTAAGTAGCTTGGTAGCTTGAAAGTTACTCTCTCAAAGCTTCGTGGAGATCCTTGTGGCTTGATGAAACTTCGTATGTTAATACAGGAGCAACTGAAGATGAAGGATCAATCGCTGAGAAAACTGCAACAAGAAATGGACAGTTTGACATTTCGAAATCAGCAGCTTGCCAAGAGAGTGGAACTACTCCAAGATGAACTTGCCTTAAGTGAAGCCAAGGGCAAAAAAAACAAGGTAGATCTCTGATTTTAAACTGTATAGTTAAAGTAAAATGTGTTTGCTTTCCTTTATTAGTTTTATTTTCATCAGCATCTTAGTGATAGACCTAAAACCATGTCCCTCCCTCTTCTTCCCTTTGTGAGTTTCTGCTTCCCAGATCTAATTTTTTTGTGTCCCCTGCACTGTATGGGGATTTCATAGAAGAAGCAATTAGTACATTACTGCTTCACTGGATAGGAACATTTAGACATCTGTCTAAAATAAACTACAATAAGTTTGTCATATCAAGTTACTCAGAATACCCTAAATTTTAATGCGTATCATTTTCAAACATAATAGTTGACTTAGAACTTAGACTCATTTTACGGATGTTGTTGGCTCCGTGCTATAGATGCAACGCAAAATAATTGAGAAATAAAATACCTTTTTGTATATTAGGTTGCTAGTCTTGGAGAATTCAAATAGATACAATTCAGGGTGCAGTTTATCATCTTTAAACTTCATTCAGTTAAAGTCAGACATCTGCCTTGAGATGTGAGCACATATTCTTATTGTGTGTGCAAACTCCTCACTCTGAATATTGCTGAAACCTAATGGCATTTAAGTGTGTGTGTGTAGTACATGGACGTTGGGCTCCCTTTTATTTCAAAATTGGGAACGTGAAAATTGCGATTTATTGCAGTAGAGTACAGGTCCTTCGAGTCCTAGAGTAGAGGTCCTTCTGGAATATTGCATCCAATTCTGGGTTCCACAATTTAAAAAGGATGTGGCAAAGCTTCAGAGAGTCCAGAGGAGAGCTACGCGCATAATTAGAGGGGAAGAGAACAGGCCTTATGAGGAGAGGCTGAGAGCCATGGGACTCTTCAGCCTGGAAAAGCACAGGCTCAGGGGTGACTTAGTGGCTACCTGTAAGTATTTAAGGGGTGTATATCAGGATATGGAGGAACACTTGTTCACCAGAGCACTCCAAGGGATGACAAGGTCAAATGGTCACAAACTCCTGCAAGACCGTTTTAGGCTGGACGTAAAGAAAAACTTCTTTACTGTCCGAGCCCCCAAGGCCTGGAATAGACTGCCTCCAGAGGTGGTGCAAGCACCTCCTCTGGACTCTTTTAAGAAGCATTTGGATGCCTATCTTGCTGGGATCCTTTGACCCTAGCTGACTTCCTGCCCCTGGGGCAGGGGGCTGGGCTTGATCATCTTCCAAGGTCCCTTCCAGCCCTAATGTCTATGAAATAGCTGTGAAATAGTTGAAAATCTGGTCTCTTGTCAGAGGCAAGTAGAGGAAAGTGTAAGACCCCCACTAGAGGTTGGGGTGGGGGTGGCGGCTCCCACTGCTGCTTGCACCCCAGGAGGGCACTGTGGGGGTGGCCCTGGATTTGCACAGTGTGTGGTGGATGGGCTGCAGCTGCTGACTGTGCTGGGCTCTTCTTGGTGGGGGCAGGGCAAGGGCTACAGAGGGGCTGCAGCTACCCCACATTTCACCATAGCCCTGCTTACTGCGTTGTGCAGTAGTGCTGGGAGTGGGGCTGCAGTGAAATTTGAGGTGGCTGCAGCCCTCTCTGTAGCCCCCGCCCCAAGCCCATCCTGCCTTGCCACATCCTGTACAGATCTGGAAGTACGCACTGCTGGTCAGCCTCCACTCCTC